CCTCTTTATTATCTTTTGTTGTCTTCATCATGCTTGCTCTGTAAGACAGGAGACAAGCATGACCTTTTATCCAATCTCTGGTACATCTCCAAATCTCTTACCAATAACTCAAAACTCCTTTTGGGCAACCCCAGCGAATAATAATATCAATATCACTTATTTCTATCCCCATTCGGCATGCCACAGAAGCAACAAGACATCGAAATATGCTATTTGGTCCTCGAAATTCATTCAGGATTCTATCTTGTGTCTCTTTGTCCGTAGACGAATGGTACATTTCCATTAATCGTGTCTGTGTCGATTTCTCTCCTATGTAAACGTGGTATGGTAGGGTATGGTATCCCCTCCCCGCCGTCTCTGTATTTACTTAAGAGTTGTTTTATTGGTGTGGTTACTCTCAGACTGACATCATCTAAGTAACCCCCTTGTGACAAAAATTATAGTATCTTATGTGTTTATGTTTTTATCCATACGTGTGCGTTTCTTGTAGTAATTTTATTAAATTTAGTTTTTATTAAATTTTGAGTTAGGGTTTGTACACTACTCAATTCTTATTTCTTCTAATATATCAAATTTCTGGAGTTGATATTTAATTCATAATAATGGTTTCCTATAAGTATAAAGTTAAATAAATAAAAGCTAAATTAAATTAATTCCTATTTAATTATATTTTATACCTTTAATAAATAAATATCAATTATAATGTTTCTGCTTTGCGCATATGTTGTTTGAGATTTTAATTAGGCACGAGCAGCATTCACACTACGCTTTCACGTGCCACGACATACTTGTCTTATACATGAATGACAATGTTGATTGTAAATATAATACTAAGTGGCTATAGTTAGGTTACTAATAATGTAATGGTTGGTTGGTTGGTTGTTGTGGGGCTTAACGCCATTTTTCAGCACACGATAGGCTATACATGGCGGCCAGTATTAATGGTGGAGGAAGAGACAGGGAAATCACCTGAAAGAACCACCAACCCACGAGAAGCTATTGGCAAGCTTTCTCACATATCCACATTCGCCGAATCTTAGACTCGAACCCACGCAGACAATTTTTCAGTCATATCGCTACGATGACTGCAGTGCGGCAGTTTATAGTCATGCAATGACAGGAGATCAAAGACATAAATTTACACCTTCGGACCTAATTTTGGATAAAAACAAAAAAGTTTCAGGCCTAACATTTTCCTAGACTGAAGCATCTACAGACTGTGAGGAAGAACTGCCATGGTTTTTAAAATACATAGAAGAGGCTATCAGCCAAAAAGACATTTATTTATTGCAGGTACATATACAATAACCAATAACAAATGCCACATGGATTTATTTTTTTATTCCTTCCTCGTCCCCCTTATTGTAGTAGTAGTAGTATTAGTTGTTGTTGAGCTTAACGTTATTTTTCAGCACACGATAGGCTATTCATGGCGGCCAGTATTAATGGCTGAGGAAGAAACCGGGAAATTATCGGAAAGAACTACAGACCCACGAGAAGCTACTGGCAAGCTTTCTCACATATCCACATTCGCCGAATCCTAGACTCGAACCCACGCAGACAGAGGTGAGATGGCAGTGATCCGTAACGGACAGCGCTTTAGACCACTCGGCCACTCGGGGGGACCCCAGTAGTAGTAGTAGTAGTAGTAGTAGTAGTAGTAGTAGTAGTAGTAGTAGTAGTAGTAGTGCTGTTGATATTGGGTAGCAAAATTCTTTATTTCCATAATTTATTATTATCTTTATCGTTAACATAGTATAAGTAGTAGTAGGAATAGAAGCAGCAACACCATGCCTTAGGATAATGATATTATAATACACGGCGTTTGTCAATAACTATGTATGATATATTGTTTTAATTTTGATCGATAAGTTGCTAGTACCGTATTAGTGTTTCTTTTTTATTTATTTATTTATTTTTCTTTTCATCGCCTTTTTTCTGGATTCATTCTGATTTGTTAGTTGTTGTACATTTAACCGCCAATCAATATAATCTCGGGTATAGGGCTTATGTATCGGTCTAATTAAATACGTCTATAGCTATTTCATCCTGAGAAAAAGTGTGCTACAAGATTTTTTTCCACGTGACAGAATAACGCGATCGACTCAGGCTGGTTCGTTATATCGAACTCGCTACCTTTGGACTACAAGTCAGAATCTCGACCAACTGAGATATCCGTGCTCTCTGGTTCACATGTCCAATACACCACATTGACACTTACTCTGTGTGTGTATGTGTGTGCGTGCGTGAATATATAATTATACATGAATGTATGTACATGCTTGTATGTATGTGTATATGCCTGTTATTTAATATATCTGTAAATATTGTTAAAGACTGCTGAAAATACTGCTATTAATAAAAATAATAATAAATAGTATGGATGGATGGATGATTATCATTTTTAGCATATCTTTACTGCTCGTTAGTATTGAATTATTGTTTTAATTATTTCTCTCTCTCTCTCTCTCTCTCTCTCTCTCTCTCTCTCTCTCTCTCTCTCTCTCTCTCTCTCTCTCTCTCTCTCTCTCTCTCTCTCTCTCTCTCTCTCTCAAACTTCTGCCCTGACGGTCAGACGCAACCTCAATCCCGTCCCATTCAGCTATGTGCGATTTACCCCTCGCTAGAAAGCCATAGAACACAATTCATTTTACTATACAGTCTCTGCATTTGTTTCTCAGTACTGAACTTTCCACTGTGTGACAATCAATACAAATCATACGTTAATCTAAAATACCTTCAAAGATGACTTTACGGTGAAGTTCTCGTCAAGGGTTGACCTGCATTTTTTGAGAGGCTGAATTGTAAACAAAACGCCATGCAACGGAACACAGGTTTAACTTCCAGATCATCACCATGACCTTATTACTCACTGTGCAATTCACATAAACAACCACACCACAAGCTTACATTCTAAAGAATATACACTTGCTTTTAAATCCTTACCAAGAATGCCTAAATCTAACTATTGTATCACCACCAAACGGAGAGACAGGAAAAAATGATCTAAAAATAGACTTGGAACTGAACCGGAATTGTTGTGTCCTGCTTTCAGAAGGTTTCAATTCTGTTATTCTAGTCTAAGGGTACTGCTGCTTTATACGCATGCGTCGGCAATTTCAAAAACAGGTCATTTATAGATGTATACCTAGGTGTTCTGTTCTGACAGGGATTATTAATAAAAAAATGTCTTTTGAAGGATTTGACGCCATAGGTCAAAAGAAAACGGATTTTAGTTTCCATCCGCATACCAAGGTCAGTCGAAATAATTTTTTAAATTACTAGCAAGCGTCCAATATTTCAGAACTGGAAGAATGTTAAAACTTTAGCATGAACTATTGCCGGAGGCCATTGGTCTCTGCTGTCAGAAAAGATAATAAAAAAAGCAGAGACCTACTTGTTGGTCTAAGGAAATGTATGCACCAAATAGTTCCTAGCCCACGGTCATCAGGGTACAAACGATTCCAAACAAGCAAGCCCGGTCCTAGGATGTGCGGGACCCAATGCAACATGCGGGGCATAAGGCAGCAAGCGATGACATCGGGGCTTAAGGCAAAATAATTTCATTGCGAATATGTGGGAGTTGTGGTTATATTATAATGTAATTAGCAATTTTTTTTTTATAAAGTTCGACTATAAATTAGGAGTCCAAACGATTGAGATTTACGCGTTTATGTACAGGTCAATAATCCCCGGACTAGTTGTATATTTATTTCACTTTTCTCGATAAAAATATTGCAAATATTGGCGAACGATTTTTTAAAAAGCAATATATAATTGCAATTGAATATTTAAATGCACAAATACTATTCGTGAATATTAATTGAAGTATACGGCCAAAGTCATTTCAGCATAATGATCGATGCCAGAACGTGTCATTTGACAGGTTAATTTGTTTACTTCATGGTACATAGCATCGTTATTAGTTAACGATCATGTGTACTATGAATTATATGAATCTGGGATAACGGTTGGTCATTATTTACATCATGCATGCTATTTTATAAAAACACATACTCGACAATTTCAGACTGACAACGCAACGAAATCTCAATGCTTCAGTTGCAATATTAACTGAACCGAGGACGAATGAGTCCGAGTTGAACTGAACTGACAACGCAAACACGGCATTCGCCAGAAACACTGGTAATTCATAAATATAGCGCGGAATCAGCTTGTTCTTGTTCTGGGGCTCAACGCCATTTTTCAGCACACGATGGCTATACATGGCGGCCAGTATTAATGGTGGAGGACGAAACCGGGAAATCTGCGGAAAAAACCACCGACCCACGAGAAGCTACTGGCAAGCTTAGACTCGAACCTACGCAGACAGAGGTGAGATGACAGTGATCCATAACGGAGAGCGCTTTAGACCAATCGGCCACTAGGAGCCCCACAATCAGCTTGTGATGGGGGGAAAACATAAAGAGTGATTTTTACTATTCTGGTCGATTAATATCACAGATGCTCGGAATAAAAAGGAAGTATATCGCCTGAATGCGCCTTCCATTGAATTTACCTTTATGCATACGTGAAGTGGTCATTACCACAATATTTTCATGAAATAAAAAAATAAATGAAAATTTCTAATTTATTAAACCAATCTTACCTTTCTCTAGCTACGAGTCCTTTACCTACAGCTTACGTGGGACTCGCAATAACTCTGGAACCAAAACCATATCAAGTTTGACAACAAAGCTGTTGCCGTTGGTGAGCTATAACCACGCCTAATCCATGCTTACCACTCTATTAAATTCGCAAATAAGTGTGTGATTTGGATTTTTAACATAGCTTAAACAATTTTTTAGTCATATCGCTACAATGCAGAGTGGCAGTTTATAGTGATGTCTAGCACTGGGGCATCATGCCGCAGACATGTAGCAAGATGTCCCACCCAGTCACATTATCCTGACACCACGCCGACCAGTCCTAACACTAACTTCTTCATACTGCGCGCCATGAGATGCAGCTGTTAGTACCATTTTTAAAAGTCTTTTGTATGACTCAGTCGGGGATGGAACCCACGACCTCCCGCATCCGAGGCGGTTGTTCTAACCACTAAGCCACCAAAGCGGTCCGCAAATAACAAATGAATATTAAGCGAATTTAAATATTTCGAAAATGCAGTTTACTGTACAAATCTTACATCACATCAATTTCTATTAACATTTCATTATTACCCTGCTGTGTGTGTGTGTGTGTGTGTGTGTGTGTGTGAGAGAGAGAGAGAGAGAGAGATCAAAGTTTGACCATTACTATTTCAGTTACGTGTCCATGTCTATTTTGTTCTTTGCAAGGTTCACACTAGGAAAAAGGATATGAGCAGTACAAAAAGATAAAACGAAACAACTTGATTGGACTTTTGTACATTTTATGCGAGGTAATTATACTGAAGACAAAAATGTACACATACAAAACTCTTAAATAAATTAAACTGAACACAATATGGTATAATAAATATTTTTCGCACGTTTTTAAGTTATACGGACACTTACCAACTGCGATAAAAAAAAACGGCAAATCAAGCGATTTGTGAAAAATTTTCAGTATTTTTGAGACAAGTTATGGACTACGACTTCTCTCTCTCTCTCTCTCTCTCTCTCTCTCTCTCTCTCTCTCTCTCTCTCTCTCTCTCTCTCTCTCTCTCTCCATGTTACATCATACAACCAGTTGAATATTTCCAGTTGAGACCTTTACAAAAATACCTTTCAAAAGAGCTCTATCAAAGGAAGTTAGAATTGTAGTCCTATACTTAAAACACCGTCAGCAATATACTTACGACACCGTCATTTCCAGAAAGACGTGACTCGCTATCTATAAAACGTAAACCTGGATGATTAGATGCAAATTGATGGTGCTTAACTGTATGGTACATTTAGTTTAAATCTTAACGTTACACAAGCGGGAGACATGGGTGGGGTGGGTATCTTATCTTGCTCACTGGATTACTCTAGTTGCAACTTCTTTTAGAATGAACAAATTTGGTAATAATTTTACATAGAACACATAGCCAGATTTGCCAGTACATAATCCTCGTGCGGATCAGGATCCATGCTGCTTGCACTTGACTGTTTTTAGACAGCAGTAGTGACACATTTTTACTGCTGTTTACTGTATATACTCACTCATTAGTCGGGGTAATCAACCAACAAAGATCCCAATCTGCCGTAGCATAATGCACCTTCAGATCTGGGTCTGTGTTTTCTGCTCTACTGATTACACATAACAAACCGCAAAGACCCAGATGTGCTGGTGCATGTGTTCTGGAAGATCCGGGTCTTTGCAGTTTGTAGTTGGACTTCACTTGTATGCACCTATAGGTATTTGGCAAAATGTCTGATTGAATGTTTTTTAAAAGGCAAACCTGGAGGAGGATCAAAATGAAAGCATTTATATAGAAGTCAACAGATATTTCCAATTAATGTGTAAATTTTAGGTGGACAATAATGTATTTATATATAACAATCTCAACAGATTCTTACCTACACAGATGTTGCCAAATATTCCTTGTGATAAAAAAATCAAAATAGGTTAGCAAACATTCAGCATCTATTGGACTTAATTGTTAATTAACATTACAAGCATGATGCTTATATACGACCATTATTATAAAAATATTACATCAAATTCTGACACCTAACCACTAAAATATAAAATAGAAGTTTTATTTCAACTGGTTTCATTTTAAATCCTTGTCGATTTTTGACCATTATGAGCTTGTCAAACATGAAAAATTGATGTCAAAAATGAATTTGGGGATAAAATTGCATCCTTGACTGCAACACACAATGAAGAATGAACACAAGTGCATTTCCGGGTGTACAAATGCAATTAGTCTTTGAAATTTTGGATTTCTTGTCCTCTTTTCAATAAATAATCAACTTGATTCTACACAGGAACAAATAACACATAGCTCAATAACTCTAAAACTTAAAAAATCCTTGAAAATCTTTAAAAAGCCAATAGTATGACTCCAGCAAACAAAAGTGACACGCCACATGTATTGCACAACTGATGCTAATCCAGTTTCAACCTCAAACACACAAAGCTCAATATCAACAGAGCACACGTTGTCAACGTTACTCAAGCATCCCTCTTCTTTGATGTCTTGAGACATGAAGATGTCCAGACTGGTTCTCTTATTCAGCAAACTTTGCTTGTTTGCCAAAAGGGTTATAGTCGACATTACAATTTTCGGTAGTAAACATGGGGGCAAATGCAATTATATATCATATGGCATCTATGGAGAGGCATCTTACGTTTCCTGCATACATGTGAATTTTATTCCATGCATGAACCACTTCTGCCAATATGACGAAAACTTCAACAATAGAGACATTTAAGAAACCTAGACATGAACAAATTATTTATTACTTTTCTATAATTTCTATTGAATCCTCTTCTTGTACGGACTCCTCCTCTTCTGTTACACATTGTTCCTCTTGAATCATTGCCCACAATTCCTCAGTTAGACTGATGGCCAAGTCTCTCTCCTCTGTGGACAGCGAATCTAGAGCTGAATGCTGAGAAATACTAGCATCATTTACATCTGTTGCCAAGCCACTAATATCATTAGAGTACATTTCACTAACATTGCTAGGCAAAGATGGTGGTTCAACTTTTAGGTGATTGCTTGGAACATTTGAAATAAGGTACTGACTGTCGTTGAAACATAAATAGGGATGGCACAGAGGAAAATGCACTTGGTCATGATATTCACTGTAAATTTGATGTGACATATTAATACTATCCCGAACCAAAGAAGGTATATCTAACAAACTCTTCTGTTCCTCCAGATGTGACTTCAGTCCCTGAACAAGCGGATCGTCGTATGGAAAATTTTCCACCTCCACAAGGTAACGTATTGCTTCCTCTGCACAGTCATTGTATCCCGCAAGCACGAGTTCAGTCTGGGTCAAGGGAGGTAACCCTATCAGCCCTGGATGAATTCCAGTTGTGTTTGTGGTTGGCGTCCCAATAACCTCGGTGTAAGGTAAAGCCATGGTATTAGCTGGAAGGGGAAAAAAAAACAATTTTAGAAATTAATTTTCATTCTTGATATGCACTCCATGTTAAAACTTTTCAAACTTTGCAAATATCAATTATATTGTTCTGAAGACGAGTAGAAACAAACGTGCCACAACAATGAACACAAAAACAAGAATCATGACAAACTCGATAATATCTTAAAATCTTCAGGAAAGAAGTTAAATCACTTTGTTCCACTGCTCACCTGACAAGTTATATATCCATCAGCCATGGAGATAATAAATCCCTGGAAAAACAAATAATAAATCAAAGTCAAAATTCCCGGGAAAGTCTTTTTAATAACCTTATGAAGTGGGTTTTTTTTATAGTGTTTAACATTGTATTCAATATCGCGCGCGCGTGCGTGCGTGTGTGTGTGTGTGTGTGTGTGTGTGTGTGTGTGTGTGTGTGTGTGTGTGTAACGCCGTTTTACAGCACATGATATGCTATACACAGGCATTTAGGAAGAGAATGAACCGGGAAGTACCACCTATCCGCGTGAAAGTACTGGCAAGTTTTCTCACATAATCACGTCGACTTAGTTACATTCAAAAGAGTAAAATTTAAGTTGCCATTATAACAAAATACAAATATATTTACCGAACATGCATGTTCCAGCATTCGAAACTGACCGGCTCACAAAACTTAACAAGGATGTGAGGAAAGCTTGTACGGGCGAATAAGTGCAACACTGCATGTTTTGCAGCGAGTTGATAGAGTATAAACAAATCGAACAAATATTGCATACAAATCAGACTTGCATAAAGACCAACGTCTTAACCATCCAACTTATTCGGTCTTCAACGTCCAACTTAACCGGTTGTTGCACATCTTTCTCAAGATTTTCCATTCGATTGGTACACATACACGCACGCACACACGCAGTCTGCCAGGTACCAAACTACAAATCAAGCTGCTTTGGAGGACACACAGTACCATTTGTATATACAAATGGGAACCAGCATGGAAATGGGTGAACATAAAATAGAGTATACATGGGTTTTGGCTGGCCACGATTGGTTAATAATGTAAGTTATGTTATAGAAAAACAAAAGAATCTTTCGAGAGTTTATCCTAGTTGTAAACGAAAAAATGACCTTGTTTTATTGATGGAATTTCAGTCCTTTATCAGTATTGAGTTTTGAATATTCATTACTAAAATTAGCACCTAACTGCGGAATTGAAAGCACCTTTCCAACAAATGCATGTCCATAAAATGCCGCGACTCGTATCCTTTCCTCTATATAGATGATGACAGCCAGGTTTCATGTATACTAACTAATTAATATAGGTTTGATCACTGAGAAATTAAGTTATTTAAATTTTAATATCATTGTGTTTACATAGGTTTACTGTTGGAAATAAATTAGTACCGCGAGTCATGGAAGAAAGAACAAGCTCTCCTGTACAGAACGGGCAAAGTATGCTGGCTCAATGTCATGCACAGCGCGAGGGATGCCAGACATTTGTTAATTTCAGACTTCTTTCCCTCCATGCATGTTATAAATTACATTATTTTCTAATACAATATTGTTCAATTATGGAATCATAATATTAAACTGAATTAGATTATGGGGGAGGGTTACACACATTCAAGCAACAACATATGCAAAAGAAAGTATGACTAAGTTATATAATTCAGCATTCACGGTAAAAGTTATTAGGAAAATCATAAGTTTCAAATGAACTGAATTCTACAAAAATAGCTGCACTATTCATAAGAATCTGATAAAATAAAAAGCAACACAAAATACTTTTGATTCCATAACTCTATAAACAAGCGTGAAAAAGCAATAACAAAATGAAACAAATCAATCAAAATGTACATTTAAAATGAGCATACAGACCTGAATTCAAAAATCACGTATCATGCCGTGAAGTATGGAAAAGCAAAATTATGTTTCTTACATAAAGTGTATATGATAATTTACTAGTAGAAAGTGGGATTAGTTTTTATGTTATCGAACTTGGGAGAAATATTCCACGATAAATAAGGCATGTCTGTGAATGTTTGTCCCAAAGAAATATATCTTTGACTTAGTTTCTTTT